ATAGCATCCCCACTCCCCAGCCCAGATCTTCTTCATCAGTCCCCTCTCAGGTTTAGATGGGTTATTGGGAAGAAATTCCTCCCTGTGAGAATGGGGAGGACCTGGCAGAGGTTGGCCAGAGAAGCTGTGGCTGCCCCAAATCCCTGGAAGTGCCCAAAACCAGGCTGGATGGCGCTTGGAGCAACCTGGGACAGTGGAAGACGTCCCTGCCCACGTCAGGGGAGTGAAACTGGATGATCTTCAAGATCCCTTCTCCTCCAAATCATTCCATTCAAAAGCTGATCCTCTCTAATATCGTCCTAATCATTAAGAAGCTATGAACCAGCATTTGCCTTTTAAGCTACAGAAAGAGGGCTCCTCCCCTCCTTAATGGTATTCCTCAACTAAACCCCAGCCCCTGATTTTTTATCATGCTCACTTCATGACTCACTTTGTCTTTAATTATCCAACCCAAACTTCTGTCATTTGTATCAATAAATCCCCCCTCTTTGACAACTCCATAACTCTTCCCCCAACCTTCCTTGTTATTTAAATTCTTAATTATTTAATGTTTTAATTTTTTATTTTTATTATTTAATTACTTTAATTATTTAAATTTATTTTAATTATTTAATGTTAAAACTCACTTGATAAGCTTCTTGACCAATCACACAAAGCAAAAGCACATTGACAGTAGTTCTATTTAATTACCATAAGCACAGGTACCTTTGGTTAGAACAATGCTTGCTTACTTCCAATACAATACTTACAAGTAAGCCTTAAAACACAACACACAGAGCTCCATTATTAAGCTTTAACTTTCCTAATATCTTCCTAGATAAACTTTCTGCAGCTTAGAGAGCTATTCAGACAAGCGTTAATACACATTGTTCTATTTGCCCTTGCTTTTCCTACAGTTTAAATAATTTTTCAGCTGACCTATCTCATGGCTGCTGCTTAGCTCTGCTCACAGTTCTGCTGTATCTGAGGCCTGCCTTTTGCAGCTTTCCCCAAAAACCCTCTGATTTTCCCTGTAATTCTGTGGATTCCCCCAGTCCCCACCTGGACGTTGCTGCCGTTGATGTGCATGCGGCGGATCATGCTGCCCTGCGTGGTGACATCTGTCCAGTAGATCATCTGCTCCCTGTAGTCGAAATCCAGAGCCACAGCGTTGTTCAGCCCCTGGAGAGCAGGGAGGGAGAAGGGTTGCAGCAGCCTCAGTGGCTGCCGTGGGTTCTGGGGGGTGTTATACAGCCCACAGCCTCACTGCCTGCTCCTTGCTCACAGTGACATTTAGATGGATCTGCCATTCCCCTGAGAAGCCAGGAGCCAAAACTCCTCAGCTGGCAGCTCCTGTGTCCTTCAGGGCTTGCTCCATCCCCAAATCCCCTCCATATGGGGCTGCTGTGCCTCCTGCTCTCACCCATCCCTCACCTGTTTGAGCAGAGTGTAGTTGGAGCCATCCAGGTTGAGCTTCCTCAGATAATAGCGGTTGGCAAAGATGAGGAAAGGTTCTTCATCTGCACGGGAAAAAGGGGAGAAAAGTGGCACAAGGGGAGCACTGCTGGGACGTGGGCAGAACCCTGCAGACCTGCCACCCCTCCCTCATGAGCTGGGGGCAGCCATTCACCCTCCAACTGCAGCACCATGAGCATCCCCACGGTCACCAGGAACACCCTGAGCTCTGCGCCCACACCTGGCTCTCACCTGTGACAGCCTTGCAGCTGGTGGGGTTGTCAGGTCTGAGCTTGTAGCCCTCGGTGCAGAGGCACTTGTAGCTGCCCAGGGTGTTGATGCACTTCTGGCTGCAGGGGTAGGTGGTGGAGCACTCGTCGATGTCGATGCACGTCTTCCCGTCGTCCTTCAGCCGGAATCCGGGACGGCATCTGCACTGCAGGAGCAACCAGGAGCTGTCAGACACCTCCAGGGGAGGAGGTGGCAGGTGCTGGGAGGTGACAAGTGTCACCATGGGACATGCAGAGTCAGCAAGGACAGCTGAGATGCACAAACAGTGCTTGAAGAGACCGTGTCACGTCCCTGGCCCAGCTGGCACAGGACAGACACAACCCGCACAGGAGGAGGAGAGGGAACAGCAGGAGCTGTGCCAGGGGAGGTTTAGGCTGGATATCAGGAAAAGGTTCTTCCCCCAGAGGGTGGTCAGACAGAAAAGGTTCTTCACCCCAGAGGGTGGTCAGGCACTGCTGGCTGGAACAGCCCCAGGAGAATTTGGACAATTCTCAGGCACAGAGTGAGATTGCTGAAATCTCCTGGTACAGGACAGACACAACCCACCGAGGAGGAGGAGAAGGAGGAGAGGGAACAGCAGGAGCTGTGCCAGGGGAGGTTTAGGCTGGATATCAGGAAAAGGTTCTTCCCCCAGACACTGCTGGCTGGCACAACCCCAGGAGAATTTGGACAACTCTCAGGCACAGAATGAGATTGCTGAGATCTCCTGTGCAGGAGCAAGAGTTGGATTTGTGGGTCCCTTCCAATTCAGGGCATTCTGCAATTCCACAATCTCTGCAGCCAGCCCCCCCACCCTCTTGGGGAAGATGAAACAGGAAAGACTTATAAATATGATTGCCTGGCAAAAGATTTTTGAGATCATGGAAATTATAAGCGAGATTGAAACGAAAGCAAGCTTTGAGATACTTCAGTTACTGAATAATAGGAAAACAATGGTGTGGCTGGCTGAAGGTGATCCCTTTTGATGAAACAACACCCTCTGCTTGCAGACAGCTCCAAGGGTCAGAGCAGACCCTACAGCTTGGCAGAAGGGGCACAAAGAGGAGTTTTTAGGGTTTAAAATGTAACACAGTATGGTAATGTAGTGATTCTTATAGGCCGTATGGAAATGC